TCTGACAACGTGCCCTTGCTACTGCTGTTGTTGACAGAACTGGAGCAACGAGATCACTAAATGGCTCGGATCACGGATCCTCTCCTTACCGATCGATTCAGGAACGAAAGATGAGATCGACACTAAACTAGGTACGTGTGAAAGCGTGCGCGTGTGTGCATGCGTGTGCGTGTGCATGCGTGCGTGTGTGCATGCGTGTGCGTGTGCATGCGTGCGTGTGTGCATGCGTGCGCGTGTGCATGCGTGCGCGTGTGCATGCGTGCGCGTGTGCATGCGTGCGTGCGTGCATGTATGCGCGTGTGCATGCATGCCTGCGTGCGTGCGTTTGCATGCGTGTGCGTGTGCATGCGTTTGCGCGTGTGCGTGTGCATGCGTGCGCGTGTGCGTGCTTACAAATTTAATATCCCATCATTACGTTGTTAAATTACTCTCCATGACTGTGATTGTATAGGTTAGAAAGCTGAGTCAGGGTGACCAAGGATTGCCTGTGACCGGCCACATCTCTCCATGACTGTGATTGTATAGGTTAGAAAGCTGAGTCAGGGTGACCAAGGATTGCCTGTGACCGGCCACATCTCTCCATGACTGTGATTGTATAGGTTAGAAAGCTGAGTCAGGGTGACCAAGGATTGCCTGTGACCGGCCACATCTCTCCAGCGCGTATATGTATGTATGTGGATATTTGTCACTACATATATATTATTATAACAGCTGTCTCGCTACCTAGGTTCATCGTTTGGGAGCCGAGCGCTGGGTATACGACGTCAGGGCGCCCGCTGCGCGTTACACGACCCCTGTGAGGAGAATGCTCTTGTGTTATATTCACCCCCGGAGCTGAGTGCAAATGAACAGTTGAAGGTGGACATGTAAGTTACTGATGCATGATGAACATGTTCATAAATGTTATGAAGAACATATATACTCTCTATAGTACCGTCAACACCCCAAATTCGGAGAAACCTAATCTCATATTAAACCATACGAATTCTGAAGTCGCAACACCATCTGAGATATGTAAGATATGCCTGGAATAGGCCGCCTATAAACGGAACTTCACAGAAAACTGGAGTAAATGGACTGTACCGAGGGTGGTCGGTGTTTGGAGAGTTGACTGTATAAACGTGTTCGTTAATATTATGATGAATATATCTGTACTTGTTTAGAACAGATATGTCGTTCATGAATATTGTGTTTAACATATCTCTACAGCACAGATATCATTAGGGCACATGTGTTTTATCGCGCGTCGCCGTATGTGTTTTCGTATGTGTTCTTAACACTATGTGTTTTCGCAGGGAGAAGCAGCCTGTGCACGTTGTCGTTGATCCACTGCTGTGTAAGGTGCTACGCCCTCATCAGAGAGAGGTGAGCGAGAGACGAGCGTTCTACGTCTAGCGCGGCTCGATCGACAATGCGATCAACAATCTCAGTAGAATCGACCTCGAGTGCTATCGAGGCAAATCACAGATTACAGGATAGAAATTATCTGCGTCTTTGTGCGTCAGCGTGAAGATGGAGAATGAAGATAGAACGGGTCAATAGTGCGATCTATTAAATAATTTTAGGAAGGTAGCACTGCCACATTTAAAATGAGTTGTCCACCTTTTAATAGTGCATTCCACGGATAACCGTATGTATAGGTATCAATCCCTCGTATTATATAAGTACTGTATATTATATACTATACTAAACTTATATAGACTATATAAGTATGCAATACTAACTGTAATTCCTAGCGATTGTGATTCTTATAAGCAGTCGCGCAACATGCAAATGTCGTCAAGTTTACGTCGAATTCTTGCAGGTTTGAGCAGACTTTTAATGTTTGGTAGTGAGTATAGACATTGGTCTGTTGGTTTTCAGGGAGTAAAGTTTATGTACGACTGCGTCACTGGCTCTCAAATTCCTGATTCCTATGGCTGCATAATGGCGGATGAGATGGGACTGGGCAAGACCCTACAGTGTATAACTCTGTTGTGGACACTTCTAGTGAGTTTGTTTGCTTGTGTTTCCCTCAGTGTTTACTGCTAGTCGTTATAAGCTCCTACCAGCGCTGAAGTTACAGATGAGTCGAGCAAATGTCTCCCATCTTTGATCGATACAGATATGCGAGTGATTGCATGGGATATTTAGTCGTAAGGTAGCTATCTGCTTATCTTGCTGAGTGAATTCTATGTCATATCTACCATGGCTATCAGTGGGAGTATATTCTTCTAAATTAGACAGAATCGCTGTTCCCAGTTGTCGTCGTTATGTTTGCATTGTTTATCTTTCGTATTGTAGCGTCAAGGCCCCGATGCGAAACCTACGATTGACAAAGCCGTGATTGTTTCACCAAGTAGTCTGGTCAAGGTAAGCGATGACTGAAAGGACAATTATTTATCATAAAACTTTGATATCGACAGTAGTGTCAATTCACTACAGTCTACTTATCCATCGCCCTGGGCTTTGTTGTCAGCAACAAAATTAGTCTTAATATTAGTCCTAATATTAACTTCTTCTCTTTGACTATTGATAGAAACATGGTGAAGTTATGAGTTTCTCATACGCCATGTATAGATGTCCCGTCTACGAGAAAAGGTAAACGTTAAGTATAATATCGTGTTTCTGACAATGTGTTCCTGCTGCTGTTGTTGTTGACAGAACTGGAGCAACGAGATCACCAAATGGCTCGGATCACGCATCCTCTCCTTACCGATCGATTCAGGAACGAAAGATGAGATCGACACTAAACTAGGTGCGTGTGTGCAAGCGTGCGAGTGTGTGCATGCGTGCGTTGCGGTGTGGCATAAGCTGTGCGTGTGTGCAATTCCGTGTGCGCGTGTGCATGCCGTGCGTGTGTGCAATGCTGCGCTGTGTGCATGCGTGCGCGGTGCAGCGTGCGCGTGTGCATGCGGCATGGCGTGCATCGTATGCCGCAGTGTGCATGTTGCCTGCGTAGCGTGCGTTTTGCATGCGGCGCGTGTGCAGTGTCGACTTGCCCATGCCAGTGCGCAGGTGTGCAAATGCGTGCGCGTGTGGCGTACTCAAATTCAATATCCAATTTTAGTTGTTAAATTACTCCCCCATGACTGTGGATTGTATAGAGGTTAGAAAGACTTGAGTCAGGTGACCCAAGGATTCCTGTCACCGCGCCGTGAGCCAGGCCACGATGCTCTTCCATGCTGTGATTGTAAGTAGGTTAGACAAGCTGAGTCAGGTGACAACGGATGCCTTGTGACCAGCCACCATCTCTGCTCCATGACTGTGATTGTATGAGGTTAGCAAGCTGAGTCCAGGGTGACCAAGGATTGCCTGTGCCCAAGCCACAACCACGCGGTCTCTCCACCCATGAAATGTGATTGCATATAGGTCTAGCGACAGGCTCGAGTCCAGGGTGACGCAAGGATTGCCTGTGGACCAGCCCACACTTCCAATGACTGTGATTGTATAGGTTTAGAAAGCTGAGTCAGGGTGCACCAAGGTATGTGCCTGTGACCGAGGCCACGTCTTTCGCTTGCCTGTATCAGCACGACGACTGTGCGCCCAGCGACCAGAGTTTGAGTCGCAGATGAAAAAAGCTTAAGAGCCAATTAATAATTGGTTGTTACAGAGAGGTTCCCTGGCGCGAGCACGGTAGAACAGCCGAGCCAGTGTTTGATCCATGATGTCAATGTTGTTACAGAGAGGTTCCTGGCGCAGCAGGGTAGACGCAGCCAGTGTTGATCATGATGTCAATGTTGTTACAGAGAGGTTCCTGGCGCAGCAGGGTAGACACAGCCAGTGTTGATCATGATGTCAATGTTGTTACAGAGAGGTTCCTGGCGCAGCAGGGTAGACGCAGCCCAACGCCTGTGTTGATCGTATCGTATGAGACGTTTCGTCTTCACGCTCGAGTTCTACACAAGAGCTCAGTCGGCCTCGTTATCTGTGATGAGGTCAGCATCATCATCATCATCATCATCATCATCATCATCATCATCATCATCATCATCATCATCATCCTCCCACATGGCTATCATCCAACCACCATCCAATCACCATCCAACCACCGTCCAATCACCATCCAACCACCGTCCAATCACCGTCCAATCACCATCCAATCACCGTCCAATCACCGTCCAATCACCGTCCAATCACCATCCAACCACCGTCCAATCATCATCCAACCACCGTCCAATCACCATCCAACCACCATCCAATCACCATCCAATCACCATCTAACCACCGTCCAATCACCATCTAACCACCGTCCAATCACCATCCAATCACCGTCCAATCACCGTCCAATCACCGTCCAATCACCGTCCAACCATCGTCCAATCACCGTCCAATCACCGTCCAATCACCATTCAACCACCGTCCAACCTCTGTCCAACCACCGTCCAATCATCGTCTAATCACCATTCAACCATCGTCCAATCACCATCCAGTCACCATCCAATCACCGTTGATCTGAATTCTACTAATATCAGTGTGACAAGAATACTTATAGCATATTATTTCCATATCGTCTAACTTTAAACGATTAAAGATTAAAGTGTAAACGATTTTTACTTGGAGCACTTCAGCGCATCGCCTCACACATCATCTCTAGCGTTTGGCGGATGAGATTCTTCACGTTATTGTCGTTTGTCTACGTCGTGTTGCCTCCAACCTTATTATCCACGAGGAGAGAAGGAACTAAGAAGGACATGTCGTGTTGCAGGGCCACAGGCTGAAGAACTGTGAGAATCAGACCTATCAAGCTCTCACCCTGCTCAAGTGTCAGCGCCGCGTGCTCCTGTCCGGCACTCCCATCCAGAACGACCTGCTC